CGCACGGGATAAGCGAAGCCTGTGATTTTACTCGAATTTACTGACTTATCTCCCGGATACCCAGATGTCAAGGCTTTGAGAGTCCCGTTTTATGGTCCAGATGGATTTTTAAAAAAATAAACTAATGTAGTTTTGTGCGCTTTGTCATTTATATTTCACCAGGTTAAAATAATATATCAAGCTTTGTGCTTGATTTATTTGTAACACATCGTGAATGCTCAAAATGGAACTAACAGATACAATAGGGGTGATCCCTTCTGCCATCGTGGACGTCGTTTTCTTTGGCCCCTAACAAATGAATTGTATTTAAAGGACAGCTATTAAAAATATCCATTGTTACACCAGCAGCTTCACATACCTGTGAGCTGTTCAACAATAAAGCTGCCCTTTTAATACTATTAATTTGTTTGACAGAAACCTTCCTTAATAAGCAGGGCTTGAATTTTGGCGCGGGATTGCTCAGAATTCTTCTGATTCCCGCAGTTTCCGCACTTGTAACGCGGGAAATTCCTGCAAGTATTTCAGTGTGAAAGACACTCGGGACAGATGACGGGATGTATCATTTGCACGTGCTTTGGAGTCTTACCATTTTAAACATTCAAGTGCTCAATTCAGTACTTGCGTGCTCTCTGTGAGACCCCTTTCTGTAATTTCACACCCAAAGCGCACACATAGAGCCGCATCTGAGAGTGCTCGACTACAGAATGAAGTTGTGTTGCGCCTTATTGCGGCTAAATACATACAAAATTGTCAAAATGCCTTCTTGATGAGTATTCACGTAAACAGTCGATTTATACTAAACTTTGTTGGTATATAGGCTAAGTGAATGCAAATAGTTGAGACACAAAACTTGTGTAACAGATCCGTGCATGAGGTCTTAAAGAGACAGCAACCTAAATAAACCTGCTGCTGTCTGTCATTAATGTTTATTTATACATTGAAGACCAACCAGTGTTATTTCAAAGATAAATAGATTATTCCGTTTCTGTGGTATTTCTTTACCTGAATAATACTGTTATACCTACCTGAAAAACTTAAGTTACACTTAAAAAACACAGTTAATTTTAGTTGTATCTTGTTATTGTATTTGTTTGTGCCATTGCTTGTCATCTATTCTTATTTTATTACTGACTATTAACATTTGAGTTCAAATAAATTAAATTCAGAGTTTGCCTTTATCTTCTGTACTCTGAATCACTCTCAAGTCTTTTGACAGTTTGGTAATCTCTATTCGGTTTTTGCAAAATATTAGGTTTTTTCATGCCTTTTGCAAGACATTGCACTATTTTATGATTTTTATCAGAAAGATGGTTCTTTCTCCCAATATTGCATGGGAACTGTGACTTGCTTAATAATGTGGGACAAACTCTTTAAGTAGGTTTTCCATTTACACTTTCTTTGAAAAGCTAGAAAGTGTAAATGGAAAAGCTATATATATAATTTTTATTTTTTTTAAATGTAATATCTATTATTTGTCCATTTTGAAACTGACACAAGGGGGTATTATCAGTTCTGTTAATCATCCAGGAACACATGATTATCGTCTTAACATGGCCAAATATTAGCAGATTAATCAGCCCGGTTGATATACTGGTTTGTCAGTACACTCAAAATTGATGCAGAGGTTAGTTACACAATTTTATTTTTATTATTATTTGGTTTGGTTATGTTTAAATTGAATTTTTATAGCATTTGCAATAAACTTTATTTTCTGAGCTTTTTGTCTGTCATTATGGTTTGACTAAACCAATCCTCTCTGTCTGTCTCAGATTCTTGAAAGCTCTCAGACACTTTTGAGTGTTTTGAAGAAGGAAACGGGGAATCTGACCAAAGCCACTGAACCAAGAAGCAGCAAAGATCATTGAATAATGCAGAATGTTCCATCTATCGATCTATGACTATATTCCATTAATCTCCTCTCTCACTTCTTCTCTTTCATCTTTACCAGCATCCCCTCTTGTAATCATCACACAACTCATTCCTATTTGGAAGTTCTGTATGTAATGTAAAGGTTTGTAATGTTTTGATATGGATTAGTGTTTAATATAATGCTTTTATTTAAATGTAATGTTTTAATAAAGATAAGTTGTGATTTTTTTTTAAAGGGAATTCCTGTATGTAAATCTGTCATTCCCAAGATAAATTGTGAACACCTTATAGCTTTCAATTGTTTATTGATCATTTCTTTGTTTGACATTTTTTCCCCTCTAAATTCATCAAAACCAAATTGTACATTTAATATACTCTTGATGAAGAAACAGAAAGGATGAGGAAAAGTTTTGACATACAGTACATTAACCACCAGAGCAATGAGCAGCTTGACTAGAGTTACAGGAACTAATGAAGCACTTGAAGTGGCATTACATTTTGTAAGACACAAAAGCAATAGTTCCCCACCCTCTGAATGTCTAATATACATCCCTCAAGAATATTTAATGTTTGCAAAGAATATCTGGAGGATCTGCTGTAAACTGGGATAAGCCGAGTGCTAGAGTGATATACTGAACTAGAATGTACAGTAAGACTTGGCTGAATTCTAACACTTGGTGAAATAGCCTTATTTCAACATTCTCTTAAATAAAATGTGCCCTTAATTATGTGATATATAAAAACACGGGTTCAAAGGCTTTGTTTTCCCCCCCCACACACAAATACACTACCGTTCAAAAAAAAAAAAGACTCAAAATACAAACTGTCAGCAAGATATTCATGTTTTTGCAAGACGTCTCTCATGCTCACCAACGCTGAATTTGATCAAAAATACAGTAAAAACAGTAATATTGTGAAATATTACAACCTAAAATAATTTTCTATTTTATTCTATATTTTCTTTTTCTATTTATTCCTATGATGGTAAAACTAAATTTCAGCAGCCATTAGTCCAGTCTTCAGTGTTACATAGTCCTTCAGAAAAAAATCCAATATGCTTCTCGAGTAACATTTCTTATTATCAATGTTGTGATACCCTTTTCAGTATTCCCTGAGGAATAGAAAGTTCAAAAGATTTTTTTTAAATAGAAATTTTAGTAACATCGTGAAAGTCTTTACTGTCAATTTTGCTCTTTTTTTTTACATCCTTGCTGAATAAATGTATTACAAAAAAACTAATCTTACTGACCCCAAACATTTGAATGGCAGTGTATTGTTTAGTTATTTGTCTGTGGGTGGGGGTGGGGGTGGGGGCATTTAATGTAAGATTTTTGTTAAAAGAACAATCAAAACTTGACATCCACAAGCTGACATCAGTGGCAACTGATGTAAATATACCAGATACAGATTACACTGTTTGAACTGGATCCAAATTCATTGCTTTCAGAATAAGAGCAATCAACTCCTGACATCCACAAGCAGATGTCAATGGTTAAGTTTATGGCAACTGATGTAGATATAAACAGATATTGACTACACTGTTTGAACAAATTGATCCAACTTCTTCACCATAACAGCACAGATATTCAGAATTGTGTACAGTGTGAACAAAGCCAGTGTCTTAAAGAAAATGGGCAGAAAATGTTGATCAGCAGTTTTGAGCTGAAAAGCTGGTGCTTCAAGTCGATGTTATGCTCTTAATGGACACATACATTTTTGTGAAATAAATTACAATATGAAAGTAATTCCTAAAAGGCATTATTCCAACCAAGAGCTGCGTACGGTGCAAAATAAAGCAAAAACAAAACAGTGCAAATGAATGAATACAAAAGCACAGGACTAAGATGTAAGCTGTCCTAACAACACTCACGTAACTTTGTACATGATGTCAAATATATATATATATTAAAAAAAACTATCCCAAAGCACATCGTTGCTACTGTTTGCCCTGTGACTAAAAATATGAAAAAGTGATAAAAAGATGCATGAAATAAATTATGAAAACTTCAACCTGGAGAGTACAAACTATACATCAATACTGGTCGGAGAGGCTGTGGAGAATACGTGAGCAAATACACCGAAGCCATTTAACAGATCTGACACACTCAAGTCAGTTGGCATTGTGTGTATGTAGTCTTCATGTTTCGCGCACACACACACACACACACACACACGGCCCATGCATACAGCGTGCTCACTCACAAACCCACAAAATAATGTTTCCTTCATAACTAAAACTGACCGCTCCCCATTCGTACTGTAAGAATGTTCAGTCCAAAACGCATAATTATATAAACTTAAAGGGATAGTTCACCCAAAAATGATTTTATTATTGTCATTATTTACTCACCCTCATGTCGTTCTAAACCCGTAAGACCTCCGTTCATCTTCGGAACACAAATTAAGATATTTTGACTGGAATCTGAGAGCTCTCTGACCCTCCCATAGACCGCAATACGCTGTTTACGTCGTTTACGTTTTGATTTGAATGAAAACAATGTATCCGCGTGGCGCAGCTGACACAAAACAGCATACGCAATTTACGTCCAGCGGATATTCTCCAAAATGGCGCTAGGGTGACGCAGAGGAGACTAATTGTTGAATAACGTGTTTTTTTTGTGCACAAAATGTATTCTCGTAGCTTTGAAAAATTACGGTTGAACCCCTGATGTCACATGGATTATTTTACCGATGTTTCTGGGCCTTGATCGTGTAAGGACCCTTGCTGTCTATGGGAGGGCCAGAGAGCTCTCAGATTCCTTCAAAAATATCTTAATTTGTGTTCTGAAGATGAAGGTCTTACGGGTTTGGAACAACATGATGGTGATTAATTAATGACAAAATGTTCATTTTTGGGTGAACTAACCCTTTAAGCACGGTTATTGACAAACTGACATACTAAAATACATGAAGGTCAATGCTACTGAAATTTCGCACAGCATAAATCTCTATCAAGAACACTTCCAGGTCATATTTCACTCCAAAAGCAAAGGAATAAATAAATATAATGTATTATATTTTTCTTAAACAGTATTAGAGGGCAAATAATTAGGCAAATAACATCATTCCACAGAAGTTATCATTACCATCATGTGAAAAATTATTTAATAATACAATAAAAACTGTATTTCAATTATGCACTGCAGTATTTTTTTGTGTAAAAACACTAGATTATGATAATAATGGGGGAGAAAACTCACATGCATTATAAAAATGAGAACGTAGGAAGGAAACATGTTTAAATGTAATAACAAAAATGTCACAATGGTGGTTCTAATAACAGCCTTAATTGTATTTAAGCAAAATATATTTTCTTTTTTTTAGTTTGGGGTGAAATGTAACCTGGGCATGTCTTCACTGCATTTATGTTTGCATGTGTGATCCAAATGATCACAATGAATAAAATGTTGAGTGATTAATAAATTCTATTACCATGAAAAAAGCACACAAAAAAAATGAATGAGCTTGCCAGTTCACCAATTAAGAGCTGCTCTATAAAACCGATCTAGAATAACATCGTTAGTATTTCAGCTGTATAGTATATATCATTCTGTGCATCAAAAATGACTACCTTGAACGAAACACAGGCATACAAATGAAACTAAAGTGGAGGACTTCTATAGTTTTGGAGTCATGTCAATACAGACCTACACATGCACATACAAAAACATCACAAAGAACAAGCATTGTGGCACCCTTTTACCAGTCATACATAAACAAGTCACTCATTTCATTTTTTGTTGCTTCACCCTCTTATTGTCCTCTTTCTGGAGTCCCATTACACCCACTCAAGTTTCCTTCTCTATTTTAAGGACAGTCTTTCATCTTTCTCTCTTTTAGAAATTTGGTCACTTTCATGAGGTGAGGATTACATACAAAGAGCAAGTATGTGATGAAAGAGTGAAATTCAAGAGTGGAATGGCTATTTGAGCCATTTTCCATGTTAACAGAGTCCATCACAATCACAATCGGTGGCAACTGGAGGTCACATGCGGATGCGAGTGATACATCTGCTGCGTGGACCAGCTATGAGGACAGTCCTGCTGTTGAGGATGATGGCGCACAGACATGGAATACAGAATGTAAGTTTACGTGCTGGTTGCTACTGGTCCCATTGTTCTGAAAGTTGTTTCTTTGCATCCAGGCTGGTGCTAGCAGGCAGGCAACGGTTGGTCCCGTATTTTCCAGACGTCTGGAAGGTTTAGAAGTAGAGCGCTGGTTCACTGCTGAAGTCTGACAGAGAGGAGCTATCAGCAGGCGTCAGCTGGTGAACAAAAACAAACCCAAAAAAAAGAGTATGTACAACTTGTCTTGTACCATTGGAACAATGGAAATACAGTAATCAATACCTCAATTCTAATGTTAGTGGTCAAAAATAACTGACAATAACACAAATGTTATAACAACAACAAAAATGTTTGTAGGGCTATATTTTACATATTGCAGTTCAAAATTATATGGTTGATCAGATTTATATATATTTTTTGCATTAATAAATTACATGTGCATTCATTTTTGTCAAACAGTAATCTTGGGAATTTTATTACAATTTAAAATAACTGCTTTTTATTTTAAAATAAAAATATTTAAAAATGTACTTTATTGTTGTGATGGTAAAATTGCAGGCCTCTCTCATCTTTTTAAGTGGGAGAACTTGCACAATTGGTGGCTGACTAAATACTTTTTTGCCCCACTGTACATTTTCAGGAGTCATTACACCAGTCTTCAGTGTCACATGATCCTTCAGAAATCATTCTAATATGTTGATTTTATACTCAAGGATTTTTTCTTATTATCACAGTTAATATTTGCTGTGAATACTGATACTTTCAGAATTCTTTGAAAAACACATCAGCATTTGTGTGAAATAGAAATCTTTTGAAACATAAATGTCTTTACTGTCACTTTTGATAAATGTAATGCATCCTTGCTGAATAAAAGTAATTTCTTTAGAGAGAAAAAAAACTTTTGAATGGTAGAGTTTTTCTAGTTTGCAGTTGTGCCTAAATGCTTGTAAGGTTATCTCTGTAACCCATTGTGACTTTAAGAGTGCCTCCTGTAATTCTGTAGACACACAGAACAACAATAATAACTGATGGGACTCACTCATGCATTTCAATGACAGTGTTATTCCCATAGAGGCCACAGAGAATTGGGGGAGGGATATTTTCACTTGGGCCAAAAATCACACACCCAGAACACTCTAGCAACTAGCAAGCAATTCCACAGAGATCCCATAATGCCCTCATTTTACATGGACGAGCACTAATATCATGTTCTTCTCATTTTACACCACAATTGTGTACATATTCGTATTTCTTACCATAACCTCCTCAGTACTCTGTGAAGTATCAGACTCATCAAGCTTGTGTTCTTGCCAGGCGTTAAACTCCACTGAGTGTTTGGGTGTGTAACTGGAAAGATCTGAGGATGAGAAGAAAGGCATTAATGTCAATCCAGACTGAAGAACTACTCCATTTAAAAATACTTTAAATGATTTTATTATTAGGAAAATAATATAATAAAATAGAATATTAATAATAAAACATTATATTTTATTATACAGTTTTATAATTTATATTATCGATTATATATCATTACAATTATATACATTTTAATAGTATAACTTATCTCTAATATACATTTTCCCTTTTATATTTATATACATTTTAACTTTAAAAAAAGTTTATGTCCATGTTATTTGTCAACTACCCAAATGCAATAAATGTAACACCTCATGACTGACCAGCAGGTGTCAACAATGTTCAAATCGAGACCCATACAGCTTTAGTGTAAAGATGAAGGTGGTCTACTGTAATCATTCCAACAAAATCACCATCATCAATTCAACCATTATAACAAGCATTACTAAAATATAGAAAGTGAATCATTTTCTGCGAGACTACAAGAAATAGACCCCAATTTTCATACTAGTCATCATTGGACTTCTAAGAGTTGCATCCCAAAAGATAGGAAAAAAAGTGCATTTATTTAGTGTGTAAAAATAGTATGTGAATTGGATCCATTTCCTGTGGCTTCTGTGCCTTCCTCTCATTCTATCCATTTCCTGTCATCCTTCTCGTCTTACTCACCAGTGGTGTTGTTGGAGTGAGTGTGTGAGCTGGTGTAGCTGGCGCGAGGAATACTTATCCTCCCTGCAATGAGCCCTCCATCATCTTCTCCTTCTTTTTCTTCTCCTTCCTCCTCGTCCTCTCCACTGTCCCACACACTGCTCTCCGATGGGTACTCGAAAGTGCTCTGCAGGCTGGACTCGTTGAAGGATATTTTCAGCTGTGGTGGAATCAGAGGACAGTTTGTTAGCTTTCACAGCAATTATAAACAGACCTGCGTGGAATCTGCAAATGCTCTGCAGATTTCCAGAGTTGGAGAGGATAGCTAAGGAAGTGTCCAGCATACATGTGGAACTCTTTCGATACTATTTAAATGGATCCTAGAATGTACATCATGAAGTTGTTTTAAAAGAAGCCAAGATCAGTGAGCAGTGAGAGTAGTGAGCTAGGCAAACTAGGCAACTTTGAAGAAGATAAGATAGAGTAGTTTTGATTTGTCACTAAATAATGATCACAATTGAAAATGAATGAAAATGAATCTGAAATGTGGGAAATTGTAATAACGAAGTATGAGGTGTGTCCAAACTTGTTTTTGGCACTATGGCAGAATGGCGGGTCCTGACCAAAACAAACATTTGTTTAGCAAAACTTTACTAGGCCTGTGCACTTGATATTTATCTACACAAGGGATCTATGGAGACATTTTTTGACTATTGACATGATGCAAATGAAAGGGAAATGTTGGGGCAAAAATTAAGCATTAACAGACAACAAATTTTCCTTATTGCTTTATTTGTTTCTCAATCCTTACTATGTTTTTTCTTTTAATATTTACCGGTTTTGATGATGCGTGATAATCAAAGTCAGTCATGGTCATAAATGCTGATACACAAATCAATGCTGGGAAACTCAAATGAACTAAAAGGACCCTTAAGGAAGTAATGTGAAGGTGGCAAAGCATCCATGATACTTTCAAATATAACATGATGGCACTGAATGATCAACATATTCATATTATGTACTAACTAACATTTAAATTAATCATCTGATACAATGCACTTATTGTGTACATGCATGTTTTTACTTGTATTAAAAAAAAATACTGCATGTAATTACATCTGTTAGTATGTAGTTGTTAAAGACACCTGCCAGCATTTTTGCTATAATTATGACAAAGCTGCTTGTTGCTGCTTTTTTTTCTTTTTTTTTTCAAAACAGAAATAGGAAAACAAACAGAAACAATTATTATTGAGGGGGAAATCATGTATGATAAAAAATATATTTTTTTTTTAGCATTTTAATTAAATTATATTATTTGAATACACTAATAACATTATTAATATTAATTGTATTAAAGGTGACATATCATGAAAATCTGACTTTTCCAGGTTTTAAGTGCTATAATCAGGTCCCCGGTGCATCTACCAACCAAGGAAACGTGAAAAAGATTATTAACCCAGTAACTTTGTTTTGGGAAGCCTTTTTCTGCAAGCGTCTGAAAATATGAGAGCGTCTGATTTCGTTACCTTGGTGGCGTGGCAAAGGGATCTCATTATAATATTACCGCCCCTTAATCTGTAAGTTTACACCCACGGAGCCGTTATTGTGTTTTCGCAAGCAACAACGGTGTACTAGTTATAATGCCATGGCGAAAGTTTGAGCAAAACATACTAACTGTTCTGTCTTTGGCTGCACTGACGAGCACAGAACACTGTTTAGAGTCCCAGCCTCAGAGGAGACAACAGAGCAGTGGATTTATTGATTTATTTAGGCTACTGTATATTGCTGCTGCCACACAGATCTAAAATAAACATG